CTGGGCTACCAGCGCTCATGCTTTGATAGGTCGACCGGATAGGGTCTATAACTTGAGGAAGCGGCTCGAGCAGGTCGATGCTCGAAGGGCCGCAGTGGAGGAGGCTTACGCTGAGCTCGAGGATTCGGATGTGGAAAAGGGAGTCCTGGACTCCTGCCTCACGGACTACCAGCACTTTTTTTCGCTCACAGACGAGTTGATCGAGGTTGGGGCCAGGTATGAGGAGGAGGCGCGTGAAGCTCGGATGAGTGGCCAGCCCGAGTACTCTCGGAAGCAGCTTCAACCTGAGCTGTTAGGACGACTCCCAACTCTGGACCTGCTAAGGTTCTCCGGGATCCTTTCCGAATGGCTGACCTTCGTTGGGCTATTTGACAGCCTAGTGGACGCCCGGAGGGACTTGACCCCGAGCCAGAAGATGGCGTACCTCCTGGCTTCATTGGAGGTGGAGACCCTGGGCGTCGTCGGCCACTTGAGATTGTCGGGCGACGCCTACCAGACTGCTCGGGACCTCCTAGCCGGAAGATACGCCAACGTTCGACGAATTGCGGACGACTATGTTAGGCAGCTTCTAAGCCTCCCGCTGCTTAGTGACCGGGCCAGACTACGTCCGGACCTGGTGAATCCAGTCTTGGTGGCCTGTAATACGTTGAGGCGGCTGGATTTACCAGTGGACGAATGGTCCTTTTTGTTGCTCCACATCGTGCTGTCCCGCCTGCCTCTCGACCTTAGGGTACATTTTGAGGAGAGGTACGGCGGGGACGGAGCCTCCTATATTCCGCCCTTCAATGATCTGCTGCGGTTTTTAGAGGAGCAGTGCCGGCAGATTGGGAACGCTGCGGACACCGTTGACGACTTACGAGTCGTGCCCAGTGAGAAGCGGAATCCGCCGGGCAAGTCGTCGTCAATCCCCTCGAGGCCGACCGGAGCTCCCGCGGGCGCGCGTCGCTCACTGCCATCTTACAGTGGCCTAGCGGCCAGGGAGGCGCCCCCTGCTCTTATTGTCGAGCATCCAATCACCGGGTGACGTCGTGCCCGAAATTGTTAAGTAAGCCGGTTCCGGCGAGGCGAACTATCGCCAGGGAGCTCCGCTGGTGCTACTCGTGTCTGGAAGGGCACCTCAGACGAGACTACCCGCACCAACGGCCCTGTCCGCATTGCCGGGGTGGTCACCATGCAGTTTTATGCCTGGGTGCGAACGGCGTGTCCTCTCGGGGCTCTGCCAGGCCCTCGACCCCCACGGGCGGGGGCGCTCAGCTACGCCCTCTGACGGGCGACGCTCGGCGCTCGCCGGCCAGCCACCGGGCCCCTAGGTTTGAAAAGGGTCCCTCCCCCGACCAATCGGGGGGTAGTTCCCCCAGGGGCGGGGGTGTCGTCGCCCCCCCTCAGCGTGTGGAGAGGAGCTTCACAGGCACTCAGCGGTCAGCTAGACCCTTCTCACCCCCGTTAGCTGAGTGGCCGCGACTGGTGTACCACCGTCCCCCCTTTGATGGAGGCAGCCCTAGCTAACTGCCACCCTAACTCCCACCACGGCCGCCTCCACTGAGCTTTTGAGCCGTCAACCGTCCACTTGTCAAGCTGTTCTATTGCGACGGTCTCAATGAAGGCGTACAACCCGAGTAGCGATTGTAAGCGATTTGCGCTCTATTGGATTCGGGTTCACGCGGTGTGGCCTCCACTTGGTGGTTTTAAATTAAAATTAAAAATGTTTTTGGGTTTTCCGCGAAATGTTTTCATATCTGTGGCAGTTGTGATTAAGAAGGCGAATTTAATGTGCTCTCTGAATATTTGTACATATGTTTTTGTAAATATATTTAATCATTATGTTAAATCGAATTATAATGACAATTTAAATAATTATGAAAATGACATTAATATCACAATTAATAATATAGTTCAATATCTTAAATTAATTAATCTAAATGTAAATCTGAATAAGACACATTTCATAAATTTTAACATAAAAGGACGAGCAGTAAATAATCTTAATGTGCTGTACAAAAACATACCTATTGAAAGGACTACCATGGTCTCATTTTTGGGTGTAGTACTTAACGAGAACTTAAATTTCACTGGCCACATTGATAAAGTTTGTAATAAAAAGGTTGAATTTAAAATGTATATTTATATCATCTAGAATTACGTCAAAACATTTGGCGACAGTTTTTAGAGAACTTTTGTGTGGGATTGTGCATCTAGTTTTTTATTAGTGATCGATGAGTATAGAGTAGAAAGATGACCATCGCTGTATATGAATAAGTGTCTGTAAAGTGTCCAATAAGGGTGGCGCTGCAGTAGCTTAGGATAAATAAAAAAAAGCGCCAAAAGTAATTAGAAAAAGATGGAGAAATAAACAAGGACCGACCAATCCGCTTGGTTTTCAAAACCTCAACTATTTACGCAGGTAAATAGTTGAGGTTTTATATACTGGCATTTTACTAACTACTCTAGTCATGAAAATGTTTAAATATTTGAATTCAGCTGATTTCACTCCGTCTACAACAGCTATTTTAATATCGTAGTTTTTCAGACGCCAGCGCTATTGTGGTAGGTTTTGAAACCTCTATTTTTAGTATACAGTTGGACACTTTTTCAACTTTCGACCCATATGAGATGGTTCTCCTTCTACTCTATACTCCATGGTCGTTATAGACAAGTATAAAGTAACATAGATAATATACTATATAGAATATGACCAGCGGCGGTTTGCTGTTCCTGTATTATCGTTTAAAGCGATACCAAAACCTTGCGATAGTGCGTTTTTCTTCGTTATTCAGATACTATTATCTCATTAGTTATGAGAAATAAACTACATCTAAAAGCACATTATTAATGTTCGATATCCTATCATCACATTTCACGTTCTAATTTGTTTTTATGTGTTATAAATACATTTAAGAGTTTAAACAATTACTTTTAAAAAATTACTAAAATTATTGATTACATGCATCTGTTGCTAAAGGCAACACTCTAATCATTTGAGGATTATACTAATGGATAGATATATTCACATTTTATTTAATTTTTAAAGTTCACTTTTCTTTTTTAATTAAAATTAATTCCGAAAATTGTGTGAATTCTATGATAAATGGGCGTACGCAGAGTGCGGGCGGCAGTGCACTGCATGCTCAAGGTTATTTGGTCAGGGAAACGCCTTAAATAATGGTTTGAAGTAAATTTTGATATGTAAAAGTGGTGCGATTTTGTGTATTAAGTGTCTGCGCATGTAAACTGTTAGTGGAAACGGTGAAACAAGTGCTCTGATGGTGATGTGATTCTCAAGATAAGGTGTCTATTTGCTTAGGCGTTTTGAGATACCAACGTCAACTATCAGCTGTCTGTTGGCTCAAATTGCCGTCAAAATGTCTTAAGGGCTGCACAATGTGACGCATCAACATATTGTGAAGCAGTATACTATCATCATCATCATCATCATTACAGCCCTTCACAAGTCCACTGCTGAACATAGGCCTCCCCCAAAGAATGCCACAAAACACGGTCCTGAGCCACCTGCATCCATCGACTTCCTGCATGTCTTACCAGGTCGTCACTCCATCTCGTGGGGGGACGCCCTACACTTCGCCTACCGGTACGAGGCTGCCACTCGAGAACCTTTCTTCCCATCGGTTGTCGGTTCTTCGAGCTATATGGCCGGCCCACTGCCACTTCAGCTTACTAATCCGTTGGGCTATGTCGGTCACTCTGGTTCTACTGCGGATATCCTCATTCCTAAGTTTATCACGCAGAGAAACTCCGAGCATAGCCCTCTCCATAGCTCGCTGAGCGAACTTGAGCTTCCTCATACGGCCAGCAGTGAAGGACCACGTCTCAGTTCCGTAAGTCATCACTGGCAACACGCACTGGTTGTACAATTTCGTTTTAAGGTTTGTCTGACGAGAAGATGTGTCGTAACTTCCCGAACGCTGCCCAGCCGAGTTGAATCCGTCGATTGACCTCTCGGTCGAAGTTGGACTTACCCAGTCGGACTATTTGTCCCAGGTAAACATACTCGTCAACAACTTCGAGCTTAGTGTTCCCAACAACTATCGGCATAGGTGTGACATGGACATTAAACATGATCTTAGTTTTGTCCATGTTCATCTTAAGACCTATCCGTTGGGAAACACTATTGAGGTCATTGAGCATAGTGCTTAGGTCCTCCAGCGATTCTGCTATAAGGACTATATCGTCGGCAAATCGAAGGTGAGTGATGTACTCGCCATTGATGTTGATACCGTATCCTTTCCAGTCCAGAAGCTTGAAAACGTCTTCCAATGCAGCGGTGAAGAGTTTCGGGGATATGACGTCACGCTGTCTTACACCTCTCTGCAATTGGATAGGTTTCGTACTCTGGTTCTGTACTCGGATAGCCATCGTAGCCCTACTGTACAAGCACTTCAACACTTCGATATACCGACAGTCAACTTGGCACCGCTGAAGGGACTACAGCACCGCCCAAATTTCGACGGAATCAAAGGCTTTCTCATAGTCCACATACGACAGACATAGTGGCAAATTGTACTCTTCGGACTTCTGTACAACTTGCCGAAGGGTATGTATGTGGTCTATGGTGCTAAAGCCCTTTCGGAAACCGGCTTGTTCGGGAGGCTGGAAGTCGTCAAGTCTGCGCGCGAGACGATTCGTAATGACTCTCGAAAACAGCACGTAGACGCGGCTCAGAAGGGAAATCGGTCTGTAGTTCTTCAAGAGAGCGTTGTCACCTTTCTTGAAGAACAAGACCACCGCACTTCTGCTCCACGCCTCCGGTGTAATGCCACCATGGAGGACGGAATTAAAGAGCTTCTGAAGGACTTCAAGTACCGGTCTTCCACCCGCTTTCAGAAGCTCCGCTGTAATTCCATCCTCGCCTGGGGCCTTACCGTTTTTAAGGTGCTGTGTATACTATGAAGGATTATTAATATTATACATTGTATCTTCAGGCTCAGAAGGGCTAGAACCCAGAACCGTAAAGTCAATTATAAAAAAAAAGTGAGTTTAAGTTTGACTTTGACGTGTGTCGTGGTGTTTGTTTTTTTTAGTATTTTAGTACCTACGATTTTTTGTTTATTTTGGTTTGTGCCCTAGGTTTTTTAAGTTTTTTTTTTTATAAAAAAAGATTTCCTTATTTAGTTTACTTTTTAATGTTATAATTGGCGTAAGCATTGTGTGGGGATTGTTTTGTAAGTGTAACACATAAAATGTAGTCATTGCTTTCCATAGTAAGTTTTCCTATATAGTTTTTCAGCCGCCACTACCTCGCTGTGATATCTTTATAATATCTCGTTGTGATCTAATTTTGGTGGATAATTACAGTACAAATTCAGAACATTTGTAGGTGTATGCTGAATTTTTGTAACACATTACTTAGTAGTTTAGTATTATAATAGTATTATAATTAGTTTAATAACTTAAATGATGATAATATATCAACTGAAATGAAAAAGACATTCCCACTGAGAAACTTTGTATATCACTCTCATTGTAAGGTATGGACACACTACACAATAAAAATTCTATTGCTACATTTTTTTTTTAAAGAATATGAATAACAAACAAGCACGCATAGAGCAGGTATGTGAATGGACAGACATCTACATCTAGTAGCTGTCCTAAATTAAGAATCTGTACGTGGTAGAGCCATGCTGCAGCTATATTTCTGGTATAGTTGTAGCACGAATTGGTAGACTCGACCAGGGAAGGACCTCGCTCTCACAAAATACCAGCGTAAAATGGCAGCTTGACCCTGCTGTGTTTCGTATGGTGAGTGTAGAGAACCGGAGATCCATTTTACTGGAAAAGAGGCATTCCATCTTAGTCCTCACGGGTGACAACGCATCTGCATTTTGATTCTTTATTGAAGATAAATGTAGATGTCTATGAGTCACAGCAACCACTTACTATCAGGTGGACTGTGTGCTCGTTTGCCATCTTATAAAAAAAATCAAAATGTAGGAATGTCATGTTTCCAGTGAAAAGTGTCTCCCATTCGCTACACTCACCATACAAAACACTCGCTTAACTAGCATTAAGCTGCCTTTTGACACTGGGAATATTCAAGAACTCTCAAATGAAGATGTCTATGGGCGACAGCATCTGTTTACCATTAAGTAGACTGTATACTTGTTTGTCATCCTAATTCCATAAAACTATCGTCCATGGGGTCCCCAAGTGCAATGAAGTTCCTAAAGGAACTGTATCTGCTACTTGTCATAGCTGCTGGTGATAAATGGGCTGGTTCTTTTCTCACTCGCAGGCAAGTATAGCCATTCAGCTAGGAAATGCAGATAGCATTCTTGACACTATATGAGGGGGGTATGACTGTATAATAATTTAAGATTTTGTTTTTAGTTTTTTTTTTATGGCAAAAGAAATGATAATATAAGGCCTGTATTATGAGGCAATCTTGAGTTTAAACTTAACAGTTCATAATTCAATGTCAAAATTTATGTAAGATAGTATGGTGTCAACTTAATTCTACAATTGTGAAGTTTGAGTTTAAATTTGAGATTGTCTCTGAATATGCCCTAAACCCATTTAAGGGAGGGTTTGCTTTAATTGTTATGTATGACACAACTTTGATGCTGCTGCCCATTGCTAGGCAGATTTTTTTACATTTGGCATAATCAAGATGGATTTATCACCACATCTCAGAACCCATAAGAATGTTGTGGCATATGACTTGGTAGCCTCTTACAACACCCATGGAATGAAATGGGATGATGAATTTTTGTATACCATCACCACACTGCACCTTACTATATTTAGACTAAGGATGTTACGGAAGTGGTTATATCGGAACCGAATTGGGAAGCGGAGTTTTTAAATTTTGTTTGCCGGAACCGGAATCGGAGGTGGAAGCAGAAGAGATATGTTAAGGGCAGGTCTATTGCACTGTATTTTTCTTTTCAGTTTCAAATTTTTTGAATTCTTCGCATTCAGTGGCATGCATAGACTTAAATGACTTTTTAACAAAGTAGTCAAACCTCCCTTTCGTGAATATATCTTCTCACATAATTAACACTTTCCGTATTCTCTGAAACTTCATGGAAATAATTCCAAATGGCACTTGATTTTGGCTGCATTGTCCAATTCAAATAAATTTGTTACACGTCAAATAAAACACTACTAAAACTAATCAAAAACTTGGATAGGTATAAATGAAGCGTGAACATGCCCATGGCTAAATACGAAACAAAACAAGTTAAAGAGTAATCGACAGAAGACACGGTAGAGGGACGTTCCCGGGGCGACAAGTATAAAATAGTTTGTACACGCTGATCGTGGCCGCCACCACCGCTGTGCTTCGACTTCTGATATATAACTTCCGATTAAAATTTAACGGAACCGAAATCGGAATTGAAGGTGCAAAATCAATCGGAAGTTCCGAACTTTCGGAATCGGAATCGAACCTCCGTAATATCTCTAATATAGACCATTGATTTACACAATGTATTTTTTATGATTTCAGTTTTTTCTCAACAAAAGTATGTGAGAAAATACAGCAACATAAAAGTTTTATGAAGATCAGATTAAAACAATGAAGGAGGATATTAGAAAACAGCTTGGAAAAAAACTAAATAGAAACAAGTACTACTGTTGTACTTGTGAAAGAAATATAATAGGCACTTCCTATAAGTTTAAATGTCATATATACACACATAACAAACTAAGTGCTCGTTTCACCTGTGAATTTTGTTTAAAGCAGTTCTACCGAAGTGACACTTACATCCGCCATCTTAAAGTGCATGAATCGAAAATGCACCAAGACACAAACGTAAAATGTGCACAAAAGATATACATTTGTGACGTTTGCAGCAAGAGTTATATGAACAAAAGTAACTTCATCAAACATTTTAGAGTCCACGACAGTACATTTAGACCTCCACATTCCCAATTTTGTTGCAAAGTTTGCGGCATAGAATATTGCGAAAATCGCCTTCTAGTACGGCACATAAGAAAAACGCATTTCAATTTTCAAGCCAAGGAATCGCTGCATGAAAAAAAACTGCCCAATGAAACGTGGGTGGAGAAAGTAATACAGAGTGATGCTTACGTAGAAATGACAAAAATAACAGACAATGTCATTGCTATCAAAAGGTGCATACAGATAAATTCTGAGCACAAAATAAAAGAAAACGGGAATAGTAAGACAACAGATAATAAAGCATTGTACCCTGAAGTCAAACATTATTCAGAAGTTGTTTGTAATTATTGTCAAAAGACAATGTTGAAAAAGAGTCTTTTGAATCATATTCGAGAGAAACATCTGAAAGTGAGAAAATTTAAATGTGATACTTGTAATTATAAATTTAATAGGCGGTATCAGTGGATTAATCATACATGTGGACGGTACAAACAAAAACCTAGGAGAGAGCTATAGCTTTATTGTAATTTGCATGTTGAATACTTAGTGATAAAGTAATATCTACACATTTTTTTATCTATTTTTGTGCCAAATGTAGCTTATTTATATAGGAAAAAATATACAATTGTATGCATGTACGGCAAAATCAAAGTCATTATTGTAATCAGGAGTGCATTCAAATAATTTTTACAAACTTATAACTTATACAAACATACTCCAGCCGTCAAAAAAAATGTATAGATGTATTTCATTCTTGGACTATTAGCATTATTTTTAAGTTAGTATGTACGACAAACAATGACACAGTCTATCTTTTCGAAAGTTGACGCTGTGGTCCTTTAACACCTATATTCATCGTATAATAGCAACATTATGTTGCTATTTTAAATGAGGCATAACACTGCTGTGTTCCGTAGAGTGAGTGACATTAATCGGATAAACATTTTACTGGTAATGCATTTCATCTTAGTCCTCAGTCGTGGTAGCTAAGCGCTCACTGTAAAATTCACAGTACGGGAGCAACCCGGATTCGATCCCGGCGGCACCAATGCACTTGTTAATTGCAATTTTATGTACTGATTTATCACTCGCATGACGGTAAAGGAAAACGTGAGATAACAAGTGAAACGTCACCGTCTTCACAAAATTTGACATCTGCTGTCAAAAAATCTTGAAAGAAAAATATATACATATTGTAGGTTGTCATAATTTGTTGACAAAGATAACAAAATAATATATTTACTCAAAAAGTACTTCAAGTGTCAGATTTTAAATTGTTAGTACATGATAATATTCTATAATTATCCATAATTCGTATGATTATGTATAGTATTATTTTTGACGGTATTTTTACTGCAATTATGCTTTGATTTATTTTATTAAACCTTAAAGTCAATGGTTGTGACTATGTCATTTACAGTATGTATGTAGCTATGTAAGCTATGTAGTAGTAATGTAAGCTTTACGTCTAATTTTTAGATGCTAAAGAGGTTTTCTTTTTTTGATGTTGATAAAGTGTTAACAAACTGTAAAGATGCATGATGCACATCTATAATACAAAATTTTATGTATTTGTGTGTGAAATCGTATAAATATTAGACTGAATATTAAAAGTGCCTTCCATTAAAAAATACCTATCATTCATTTTAATATTTAATGACATGCATTTTTTGGAGTTTATGGAAATAAAAACATTGCAAAAATATTCTAATAATTATATTTCTTTGGTCTCTATTAAATATGAGAGTAGAAATATGCTGTTTTCACATGATCATACACGTGAGATAATATATAGAAAAAAATATACTATTTAAGAGTTTAATTTCTTAGGTTAAAATCGATATTATTATATAAAATATTGCATATCTTGCGATATTAAATCATTTACTATACATTAGTATATTTGTGCCTTTTACATATTAAATATAGTGTTATTTTTTTTATACTGTTGTTATATAAATTAAATGTACCATGTTATAGTAACCTTAAATGTTATGAATAAAATTACTTATTGACGGAGTTGTTAATTTTTTAATTATTTTGCGGCCTAATGAGTTCTTTTATCTACCGACTTCAAAAAGGAGACGGTACTCAATTCGACTGTATGTTTTTCTTTTCTTTTTTTATGTGTGTTACCTCGTCACTTTTTTCTGCATGAACCGATTTCGATGATTCTTTTTTATTTGAAAGCTGGTGATTCTCATGTGGTCCCATATAAATTTGATCAAGGTCTGACTAATAGTTTTTGAGCTATTCTTAATCATTTATATGGAAGTTGGTTGTAAAAAATTCTAATTTTGAATTACTATTTAAGTAATACCTACTTAACACCTATCAAGAATTAAATCTGTCTATTGATCTCTCTGTAGCCAACATGGACGTATAAATAAGGATATTTTACCTTATTTATACGTCCATGGTAGCCAAGAGCATTATTTCGATTTCGTGCGGGGTTTACATCACATATTCCGTAAAGCTTAAAGACACGGACGCTGGAAGGATTATTATAATGAAGGTACATCTGTATCTATATTAAACAATAATTAGTGCGGTTACCAGTGATAACGTAGGGATGAGACGTGGGCCTTCCCTGCTGGTGGTATGAATAAGCTCAAGGTCGCATAGCAAGTTATGGGAGGGATATGCTCGGAGTTTCGCCGTGTATTCGAAATGATCCGTGTGTCCATGAATCCGAAATGAGCATATAATAATAATAATAATAATATTTATTGTTTCTCACATAACTCATACATACATAAATCATATTGAAACTCTGTAGCCCGTGGTAGTTGAAAACTGTGTTACAGGCTACAGCGTCTTCCCCGTTTTCAGAGACACATTTTTGTAATGTGGCAAACCAGCAAACAATATAAATCTTATATAAAATTTAAAAAGAATAAAAATTAAAATAAAAAAAAGAAACAGTGACATAAAAACTAACAAAGTAAAAAGGGAAAAAATAATTATATAAAAAATAAAAAGTGTGTGTGTGTGTGTGTGTGTGTGTGTGTGTGTGTGTGTGTGTGTGTGCGCGTGTGCGTTTGCGTGTGTGTGTGTGTGTGTGCGTTTGCGTGTGTGTGTGTGTGTGTGTGTGTGTGTGTGTGTGTGTGTGTGTGTGTGTGTGTGTGTGTGTGTGTGTGTGTGTGCGTGCGCGCGTGTGTAATTGTGCGTATACAAGCGTCATATTATTATTAAGTATTATTTTGAGGAAACAATAAGATTTTCAGTTGCGTTATAGTTAAAATTACTTAACCACTTTAATAAAATTGGCTTAATGTTATGATTACTTAGATGTGTTGTTTTAAAAACGGAATTTGATTTGTTATACAGTAATGTAGCAGAGTAGTTAAAGTGTCTTCTCGCGAATTTGCTCTTGTAAGGAGGCAAGGGATAACGGACGGTCCTCTTATCACTTCTTTGGAGTTGAGAAGCAGTAGTTTTGTGAAATTTACGAATAGAATGGAAAATGTATAATTTTCGTACGGTAAGTACGCTACATTTTCTGTATAAGTCATCAGTCGGGTGTCTAAAAGGTAGGCGTTTAATGACTTTTAATAATGCACGCTGCGCACGTTCGAGTTCAATGAGGTGTGTTTTAGCTGCCCCACCCCATGAACTAATGCAGTAAGTAATAACACATTCTGCGAGGGCTTTATATACCTTCATTATGCCATCATTATCTAAAACATCTCTTAAATTTTTGAACACATATATGAGCTTCCTTATTCTGTTACTAACCGCAGTAATGTGTGCCAACCAATTTAACTTGTCATCAATAATCACGCCTAAATATTTTACACTGTCACTACGCAATAGGTGTGGACAGTTGCAGTCAGGTTAGGTGGATGGAATCCTATTACAAGGAAATTTATGTAAGATTAGTTTTGAATTTATACTTGACTTACTAGCATTTGTGATACTAAAGCTTAAGTACTTTGTTTTAGAAGTATTAAGTGATAGTAAGTTGTCTTCCAGCCACGTAGTAGCGGTTTTTAAGCCTTCCTCAGCTGACCTGTATACTGAGTTCCAAGAGCGTTCCCGAAATAGTAGTACAGTGTCGTCAGCAAACATTTGAATTGTTGCACCGTTTACTACTGTGTCACACAGGTCGTTAATATAGATCAAGAACATTGTAGGGCCCAGTGTACTACCCTGTGGAATACCGTATGCGCTGTCACTTAGCAAATTATGATGGCGTACGTTTTGTTTTCTTTCACACAGATAGTCTTTAAACCACGTTAGCGGGGTACCTCTTATGCCGAGGCCTTCCATACGTGCCAAGAGGATTGGAATAGACACTGTATCGAATGCTTTTTGAAGATCCAAAAATATGCCAAGGCATTTGTCACCCGCATTTAGATTGTTAACGATTTGTGATGTAAGATTTAAAACAGCATCATCCGTAGATCGTCCACATCGAAATCCAAACTGGTTATCGGACATAAATTTATGATGCTCCAGATATTTTAAAAGTCTTTTATTTACAATTTTTTCCATAACCTTAGATAAGGAAGTCAGCTGTGAAATGGGCCTATAGTTGGTTGGAAGTTTTTTGTCACCTGACTTGTATATAGGTGCTACTATTGCTCTTTTGTATATATTCGGGAAGGTCCCTGTATTGAAGCTTAGGTTGCACAAATGCGCCACAGGTTCAGCCAAAACATGACAACTGTCCATAAGTATCCTACAAGGTATGTCATCCCAGCCAGGTGCACTATATTGCCTGAGGTCATTTATGGTACTTAATACTTCTAACGGATCAATTGGGTAAAGTGCAAATGAGTTAAGCGGAGCACTTTTTGTAAAATATCCGCAGTAGAACCACTGAACTGACATAGCTGAAGTGGCAATAGGGTCGTCATATAACTCTAAGAACTGACAACCGATGGGAAGGAACGTCCGCGAGTGGAACCCTCGTACCTGTATCTTTAGGTGAAATGTATTACAGTAGTATCAGAGAGAAACTTGTAAAGATGATGATGAATAATGAAGATATAGATCAAAACTAGAACCTCCAAAATTACGGATATTCTAATTACGTAACTGGTTACTAAGTATTTTGATGCTCCGATGACCTAATTACGTTACTGGTTTGGATGATTAAACCGCCATATTTTCTTCGTCCTTTACATTATTTTGGAAAAAAAAACTAAATGAAAATTCAAACATCTTCAAATAAATATGATTTATTAAATTAAAAATTTAAAAAAAGTATGTGTAATTCACACGCGGTAGGAAGAAAAGGAAAATCTTCAATAAACAGAAAATTGCGAGAAAAATTGTGTAGTTAAATATCGAAATCCGGTAAGTCCCACCACTACTCAAAATTAAAATATTAATGGCGCGAAGTTTAAAATTAAAATCTTAATAAGTTCGTTTTTACCCAATTGAGGTAAGTCAATTAAAACTCTATAAAAATAACGGTCAAAACCGACGATTTTTTTCATATCCCGGTAAGTCCTTTGACAAGTGTTTATCAATTTCAAGTATGTCCGCACCGGCCAATCAGATTAAAGTATAGCACGAAGATGGCTGCCATTCGCATGAGTTATCGGAAGCGAAACGCTTTGCGCTCGTAGTTTTTATTTAATTATTTTGATAAAAATGAGTGAAAACAGTTTTGGTCTAAATGTGGTGGAACCAGATAAAGCAAGGAAAAAGAGTGTGTCAATATCTAGACAGAAATGGGCCGCGGAAAAAGCAAAAAGGTAAATGAAATACCAACACAGTACCTAGATAAGTTCTAGTTGTATTGTAACAGACTTTGTATTACAGGGTCGTACTCAGCTTGAAAATTGATATTATCGTTTTATTGAGTAATGATAATTTATAATTTTATAAATAATATAAAATAATGTTTATTTTAGCGTAACGGTGGAAAGGAATATGCAGTAAAAACGTAAGTTCAAGGTTTAAAAACTGGGTGTGAATAATAATTGCTCAACCCATCTAACTAATTATTAATCAGAAATCTGCTTCGTGTGGTTTTCGTACTTACACATACCTATACCTAAATAAAATTTAATTCTATCTGGTGCTGATCTAAAAAGTAACACTATTTTGGACGAAATGCACTTATACATTTAACACAAGATTAATATGTTTTCTTGTATCTGTAGTAATGCCATTTCTGTGATTTTCAACAAGTTTTTAGATATCAATGGACACATTTTCTGATTTTAAAAATAATACTTACGAGTAACGTTGGTCTCTACTGCACTCAGTTTATAAATATAATGCACTGGACTTAAGGCTGTTTAGACCGCACTAGAGCTTCCACTACAAATATATTATTTTTAGTCCATTTTAGGACATCAAACGACTTGTCGGTGCAAGTGTGCGGTCTGAACAGCCTTAAAAAGTATTTATTTTAAACTTCTCCATTCTTTTATTGGATTTGAAATATAAGGACCAGCGGCATGTATATTTTATGTACTTCAAAAAGTTTTAGGGATCTTTATTGGGAACAAACAATATTTATATTACTTAGGTGCTAACTTTTGCATGTGTTTGTCTTTACTGTTTTGCCTATGACTACTTAACAGGGTTTTGTTTTTATTTTTACTTTACAGCAATAACTAAAACTACTTGCGCTTGTCACTGCTTACCTGGCTTATTCAGATAATTATGTTTTATTTTTGAGCTAACAGTTTGTTTGTCTGTCTTTTGTAGGTATTCAGCGCCCGGATTACCAAAAAGACCAGCCTGTGGTCATAATAACAAAACTTTGAAGTGTGCTACGCTAACCCCAAATGATATGTTTCACTTTCATCGCGATTATTACTCTACGTTAAATAAAATTGACCAGGACAATTTTATTATAAAGCACGTGACAGCCACTCCGATAAAGCGCCGACGTCCGCGGAATAACATTAAAGAAAATCAGAGAAAATTTACTCTGATTTATAAAATTTTTAGTAACAAAAACCAAGAAATATGTTCAAGTTTGTAAAATGGCGTTCATCAGTATTTTAAGAGTAAATAAATCACGGGTAGAGGGTGTTATGAAAAGACACGCTGAAACCGGAACGATGGCTAAAGAAAATAGAGGCAGGGACCAAAAGGCTTTTCAATTTGCGTCACGAAAAGAGGCAATTCAGAATTTTATTAAAAAAATTTAATCCACTAGAAACACATCATTGTAGAGGTAAAATTAAAATACGTATGTATTTGTCTCCAGATCTAAATGTAAAGAAAATGTGGCAAATGTATAATGATGAAGCCTTGCCTGGTTATGACGTTAAAATTGGATATTTTAGGGAAGTATTTAATACAAGTTTTAATATCGGATTTGGGTCTCCTAGACAAGACGTCTGCTCGGATTGTCTTCAATTACTTGAGCGCATTAAATTATCCCGTAACGAACAAGAAACACAAGGACTACGAGCACAGTACCGAATTCATAAACTTAGAGCGAAATGCTACTTTGATCATTTAAGAGACGATTCCCCAAATTTACAGATACTCAGTTTTGATTGTCAAAAAAACCTACCGTTACCAAAAATTCCTGATCAATCCGTATATTATTCGCGTCAGTTATACCTTTATAATTTAACAGTAGTTGTTGGAACATCAAAGGCGTCCTTGACACCTGAAAATATTCATGCTTATATATGGACTGAGGAACAAGCGGCAAAAGGCTCCAATGAAATATGTTCATGCGTGTATGCTTGTTTAAATTCTTTGAACTTTGACGGAAAAGAAAAAGTAAGGTTAATTGCTGACGGCTGTGGCGGCCAAAATAAAAATTCAATGTTGATAACAATGGCCATGAAATGGTTGTATGATGCCAGAATTCGTTACCCTAATATAACAGAAATTCAAATAATATTTCCTGTCACAGGGCACTCTTTTATACCACCAGACAGGGTGTTCGCGTTGACTGAAAA